CCAATGCTGTCTTGCCTTGGAGGCAAGTTCACAGTTGGAAACGTCCCAGACTGCTAGTAGAAATGGCGACTCAGATCATTGCACTTCTTCCACCTCTTCTGCTTTCGCGCGAGACGTTACTTCATTGAACGCATCCTGCCCTTGTATGTGATGCTGTTCTGTCTTGTTTAAATCACGTTAGTGTCCTAAGAAATACGAAATTCTTGATCACTTAAATGACGAAACTGTCTTATATGCTTAAACATCCGTGCGGATCTCCGTAAAATTGTAATATTTCTGTCCTTTATTCTTCCAGAAACAAAACATTAGGAAATGTCTTTATGTCGTACCTGTTATGAATCTAACGTCGGAACACACGCTGTCAGAGAGGAGACATTGGTATCTTTGAAATTGTGGGTTGTTGTCTGAACGGTTAGGATTACGTTGCCATTTATTGGGAACTTTTCTGTTCACTACCACCTCCAAACTGATTCTTGAGCCCCACGTAGCTTCCTAGTCATTGTGTATGAGTGAACCCATTCTCACAGAGCAAATGAAAGTGGTCGAAATGTGAAACTAGTACCTCAGTTCCATCTTGTACCGTAATTGGAAATGATTATCACTCGATCTTCACGTCTGCTGTTCGTCTTCTTGGACTCAGAGTCAGGTAATGGTCAGGGCTTTGAGCCAGTTCGGTCTGACATCGTCGTGTTCTGTCTCCCATCCACCCATCCCATTGCTACCTCACATCTCATTTTCTCAATTTGAATTTTCCCGTGAAAATTCTATGTGAATTCCCACGTTTCTCTTCTTCATTGTTACCACCACATCGTAGCGTCCCTAGATTTCATTATCATCACCCCATCCACCCATGTCATTTTCCCAAGTGGCCTTTTCCCCGCGAAAATTCTATGTGAATTCACTCGTTACTCTTCTTCATGGTTACCACCACATCGTAGCGTCCCTTGATTTCATTATCACCACGCCATCCACCCATCTCATTTTTCCCAAGTGGATTTTTCCCACGAAAATTCTGTGTGAATTCCCTCGTTTTTCTTCATGGTCACGTATCCACCACATCGTAGCGTCCTAGATTTCGTTATTATAACAGCACCAGGCAACCTTAATACACGTTAATCACTGAGGCTCGCTGTATATGTCCGAAATTGCTTTCTCCATCCCTCCTAGGTCACGACGCTCTCCCTAGCAGTTTGTTTTCAGAATATTGTAATTTATGTTCTTCCCTGTAAATAAAAGATAACGTTTTACGCCCACGTGAAGCAATTGACAGATTATTATTTTGTATAACGTTTTTCAAACCGAATGATAACAGACATGTCCGGATATTATTATTCTAATTGCATCGTAATTTTGTATGTTTGTTTTGTTGTAGTCATTCAAGGAAGTCACACCAAAGCACCGAACATTTTTGCTCCTGACCGTACTGAGGTCAAAGGTGGATGTTTTATAAACGTGTAGTAGTGTAGCCTTGGTCGCTGCTACCGCCACCGCCACCGTCACCGTTTGTTTTATTTTACCTGTAAGCACTGTCCCATCGTAACTGATTGGTTGTGCGCTTGTTTTTCTTGTCATAAAAATGTTAGCTCCTTGGATGGACTATTTGCATTCTGCATGGCAAGAAAGAGATAGTAAGTGAGAAAGATTGCTTCCCCGACTTGAATCGAATGTGCACGAAGAAGGTGCTATGCCCGCCAGTTGTGCCAACTTGGCGCCTATCATTTAACGACCTCTTGTCGAACGTTTTCCATCCCATAAAAAGAACGGAAACTGTTGGATGCTACGAAGATCACTGGTCTTCTAGTAAATCGAGCATGAATTAATTGTATGCTCGTGTCTTGGCACCCAAGTGAAGGACAAATATCTGCGTTAATCTTTGAAAACGTGGCAGAGTTCAGCCATTTCGGAAGGGCACTGGCGAATCTAAGTGACATTAAGAGCAGACTATATTCGGCAGAATCTTCTGTGTTCTGTCTAAACCCCTGATATTAAATTGTGCAAAATTGTAATTTAAGCTGGAAGGTCGCGTTTTCGATTCCCTATGAGGTCATTAGATTCCTCAGTTGACATAATCCTTCCAGCCGCACTATGGTCCTGGGTTCAACTCAGCCTATAACAGAAATGAGTACCAGGAATCTTCCTGGAGATGAATAGCGGCTGGCGCTTAAGGCTGACAACCTCACCGCCATCCGTGAGCTGATTGTCTGGAAAATGTGGGAGTCTCGACGTCTCACAGCAATATGGTCCGCCACGGCCTAATACAGGGATAGATTTACTTTACTTAAAGGTTTGTGACGTGTTGTTGACTGACATGTATGTTGAACATTTCGCTGTTGGTTAGAAAAGCTGTACGTTACGGTAGCTGGCTGTGATTCGGTCATCAGGTAACCTTATGAACCTTTGTGTTATATTCATTAGTTGGATTCGGAGATAGACATTAGTTCCACCTAATGGACCTAGCAAAGTAGGTTTCATACTTTACATGATGGCGAAAACAGGGCCAGCTCTCAGCATGTGTTGTTTAATCAAAAGACGAAGCGATGGAAAATACCAACCACATGTATCAATTTTGTATTTTTCCCTGTTCCTTTTTTGGATATGAAAGAGAGCATGTCGCCTGAAGAGAGCTGCATGGATCGAGGGGGCTTCGGAACCAAGTTCCAAGGAGAATATTTATGCATAGAAGAGAGGAGGTAACAGGAGGTTGAAGAAATTTCCATAGCGAAGCAGTTCATCAATCCTACTCTGGATCACTTGTTGAGGTGGGTGGGATATGGGGCAGGTCGAAAGCATTAGTGCTTGCGTTTTTGTCGGAAAGCTGCATGGAATATGACTCATTGGGAAATGTGGATGTAGATGGATGGATAATATTAAATTGTATTTTAAAGTCAGAGGATGTATGGACATGGACGGGATTGAACTGACTCAGGATATGTCCAATCAGTGCGTTCTCTTTTGAGTGCGGTAAATGAACCTTTATGTTCCCAAAAGTGGGAGGACATTTTTCACTAGGTCAACAACTGCTGGCTTCTCAAGAAGGATTCTGTTGCATGGAATTGTCCGAGTTGCTTACTGTGGCCTGGTGCCAATGATTCCGGTAGTTCGCAATCAATTAACTGATGCAAATGTAGGATCGATATTATCTCGAAATACTGTGTTGGGTTCTAATCACATTGAAGTGTCGATTATGTATCAGCTTTCTTTGCCACTGTGTCTCGCTCTCACTTCTGCCTTCACAACTTATTAGCGGGGCAAAATTAAGATTGAATAGAAGTTTTTTAACTGATCTCATTCTATAGTGATGTAATGATATAACAACAAACTGTCGAAAGGAATTCTGTTTTGTTGCGAATGAAAATGCTTATATTTAAAATAAGAACCGAGGAGAAATAGTAAATTCATGATTACATAATTTTACCGGGCGGATTTGCGTATAAATAACGCTCTAGACTCGTATGTGGGATGTTCTCTCTTCGAATCTCGGTCGGGATACCATCTTTCCAGATGGGAGGTTTTCGTAATGTGTTCAGACCTGCCAGTCCAATTCGCGGACAGTACGTCGATAAGGCCACGACAGTCTCCTTCCAGACCCGTACCAGTCCGTCATAAGTCAATCGTAGCATTCGACGCTTAGTCGTAGAGCTACTGATAGCCTTTCCTTCAGCGACCGACTTTCGATTCCCGGCAGTGGCGTAGAAAATTGCTCACTTCATCACACCGAAGATGACTGTGACACTTTTCAGCCTTCTGTCCAATGGAGTGCGAGCAAAACTTGAATTATATGAAGAATGAAGAGTTTTGTTTGGAAATGCTGAATGGTACTGTTTTCCCTCTCGCTCCCACTTTGGAGCGTAGGGCTGATTTATCAGTTTCATTGACCATTTTTACAGACGGTAGGACTCCTTGGACGAGTGATCAACAAGGCCTCTACCTAAACACAGGACAACACAAACACAGAATGAACACATACACACGCCAAACATCCATGCCTTGTGTGGGATTCGAACCCACGATCCCAGCTTCCGGGCGAGCGAAGACAGTACATGCCATAGACCGCTCGGCTACCGTGACCTGCAGGTTATAGATGGGAGAAAAATATGGAATGGATCTTAAATGAATAGTATAGGAGGATGTGGATTGGATTCGTTCGGATCAGAGTAAGAGCCAGTAGTGTATTCTCATGAAACGGCAATGAACTTCCGGGTTCCTGTAAAGGTGGGAATTTCTTATCTGTCTGAACCACCGACTTTCTCAATAAGGACTGTGCTTGCAGTAGGTAATTCGTGGAATAAAATGCACGCTGTTTGTTCAAATGAATGAATTTGCGATACCTCACAGAAGCCTAGTTGAGAAGCTGTTCAGTATAAGTCGTTGAGGCCGTGAGGTGCCTAACTAGAATCCTAATTTGAAGTCATAATAACATCTTACGCTGTTGTATTTTAGCGTCCTGTTGCACTGATTTTCGTCCATGATATGTATGCAGTGTCCGTCTTTTAGTGCACTCAATTTCACTTGTTATTTCACAACATGTTTCGGCACTACAGTGCCATCATCAGGTGCTCCATTTACGTTAATCTATTTCATTGCTTGCCATTATGTCATTGTAAAATTTAAAAAGTATTTAAAAATGTTCGTCGATTATTATAAATTTTTATATACTAAAAACTTGTTAAGATTATTTATCTTATCTGTCCCAATTCTAACACCGCGCATAGTTCCACCATTATGGGACAGATAAGATAAATAATCTTAACAAGTTTTTAGTATATAAAAATTTATTATAATCGACGAACATTTTTAAATACTTTTTAAATTTTACAATGACATAATGGCAAGCAATGAAATAGATTAACGTAAATGGAGCACCTGATGATGGCACTGTAGTGCCGAAACATGTTGTGAAATAACAAGTGAAATTGAGTGCACTAAAAGACGGACACTGCATACATATCATGGACGAATATCTTACGCGGTTACCTGATGTTGGCAATGTTTTGTTTCAGGTACCACATAGCCGGACAATGTGAGGAGTTGATGCATTGGACATTCCGATGCCCCTCCCTTCAGCAGCAGCCCCACGACCTGGAGGCGACACTGGTATTTCCTGTGAGAACGCTGAAGAAGCGGAAGGTACTACCGCCGACGTCGCACAGTCGTGGTCGGCGGTACTGAATATACCAGCAGCACTGCGGAGACGACTCTGCAAGCTGCCACCCTTCGTAACCCACCTCAAGATTATGCCTACCGGTGAAGTAGCGTCATCACCATCTCCATCACTTTCATCCTCGTGTTCATCTTCATCCACGTCTTCTCGTCGGACTACACTGAACCGGCTCAATCCTGTGATAAACCAGTTTACTAGATGATACCACGAGTGATCGAACCTTTGTTGTACCCACCATGAACGATACGATGGATACAACACTTACTGGCAGCAGTGTGTCAGTGAATAATCCTTTACACCACTCACCACCTGCCCCTCACTGGGGGGCACCGGGGGGTGGTGTTGGGAGCCCCCGCTTCAATAATTCTCATCACCAGCAACATTCCCAGACTCCCACCGGTTCTTCTGCCGCCTTCGTCTCTGGGAAGACGAAGTCATCGATGACAGCTGTGACGTCATCGGCGGTTGGAGGTGACGCATTAGCTAACACTGTGATGGAACAGTTGAGGCCCCCGGATACCGGGGGTAGTGATAGTGTAGGACACTCCAGTGTTGCATCATCTTCTATACCTTCGTGTAATAAAGGCGATTCGAGTGGATGTGGTAGTAGACGACCGCCTACTTCGTCAGTGGTAACTGCGTCTTCGGGAGCTGTTACTGTCATCAGTGTCCAGCATGGGGGGACTTGTAAGCCGGCCGCGGACAAGGTGCAGCCCGATGATGGTGAGTATTTTGCGGACATGACCGCTTTACGGGTATGATACATGTACTGTCTGTGACTCAGCTTTGCAACCCTGTAAGGAATTTCCGCTGCGCAGTGCTCCAGTAAGGGGCTGGGATAGCGGCTGACTACGGGCTGGACGACCGAGGGATAGGAGTTCGAGTCCTTGTAGGGTGAAGAATTTTCTCCACGTCGTCCAGACCGGCTCTGGGGCCCACCCAGTCCCCAATCCAGTGGGTACCGGGGGTAAAGCGGCCGGGGCGTGGAGCTGACCACTTACCTCCAACTAGTGCCGAGGTCAAGAAAATGTGGCTCTATACATCACTCCTCATTACTCCTTCATGGCGTAGTGCTTAATTAGTTAGGCACAGAGACAACTTTACCATTCCTTCAGTAACGCGCCCACTCGCTATAGGCGATATGCAAACTAGGCACTGACCTTAATATTGCTGTGTTGTGACGGTTTTAATAAAGAAATTGTACTTTTTTTTTTGTCAATCAGTATTTGAAGGCAAAAGTTTGAACTAGGAATTCCGAAATTATGCAGACGTCGAATTAAAAGAGTGTCATGTGTGTGTTGCAGAGAAGCGAAATGAGAAAGAGCACTTTAATTCGGATTTCGAAATTAATCCCATATCAGGGAGGCAAATCAAGCATGCTGAACTTTCAGTGTTAGGTGTGTACAGGGCGACCGTCTGTGATCTAGGGATCAGAGTTCCTGGCTACAGATCTAGAGGTCCCGGGTTCGATTCCCGGCGCTACCAGATTTTCTGAGAAGTAGTGGGTCTGGAACGGAGTCCACTCAGCCTCGTGAGGTTAATTGAGGAGCTATTTCAAGGAAGTAGGTGTGGAAAATCGAGATTAACGGTCTTGGGGATCCGTTGCGCTGATCACGGGACACCCTCTCTCAGCAAATTGGCACTAACTTCGCCGACAAGCGGCGGTCGCTCGGTCGCCCTAGTTCGCTTGCGGACTGCAGGCCGCGGAGTTTATTTTTATGTGTGTACAGGGCTAAGTGAAGGTCCTGTTGTCCTTTAGCTATAACCATATGATTATGGTCAGCCAGAGGGGCTGAAACATATTGTGAGGAACAAACAGTTAAATGTCTTACATAAATGTTGATAAATGGATTTGTAATTGCTAGTAAGTAGTACAATGGCCGCACCATAGCTCAAGCGGTTAGTCGCTGGCTTCTCACTGCGGCGGCCCAGGTTCGATCCCGGGTCTGTTGAAATGGGATTTATGGTGGAGAAAGAGGCGCTGGGGCAGGTTTTCTCCGAGTACTTCGGTTTCCCCTGTCAATCTTCATGTCACCAGTTGCTCCACAATCACCCTCACCTATCATCTGAGGCTGGTACAATAGGCCAGAAATGGCCGCAGTACAAGGGACTTAGTCCACCCCACTAGCAATTAAAAAAAAAAAACAAAAAAAGTATAATGCCCACATAAAAATCAACGATAGAGTGCATTTGTTATGTAAACTGTAAGGGAAAGTCGCCGGTTATGGCCTGGTCTCCGAATACCGTCCATGTCTATATTGCAGCCAGTAGCTGAAGCACTACTTGGTTAGTCAGTCACTAGGCAGCCATTATCAGTCTCTGAAGGGGTTGTGAAGGTGTGATGTTTTGATTTGTCGGGAAGGGTGTTTGAATTTTAAGGTAACCCAAACATTTTTGAACCGCTCAATACATATTGTATATATTTTCCTTAAGAAAGGTATTTACTTGGTCGTATAACTGAGAATAGTTACGGTATATATATTAAAATATATTTTAATCGTAGAGAGTAAACGCGTCGTTTACCGAAAGTAATGGCAGCCATATTTGAGAGTCGAGTGGAGCCAAGTATCGCCTGTCCAGCGAATGCTGTAGCTGTTATTTTGAACCTTTATTTTTCTTGTATATTTTATTAAGGTTTCGTCTTATGCTGATACTTAACGAAATGTTTTCGAAGTTATGAAGACGGTAAGCAACACTAAGAAATACTTGGAATTAGGAAGCTTTGACTTGACAGTCGTTGTTTGGTCCCCTGATTCCTAATGTCGCCAATAGCTTGTTTATTTATTGTCAGAATTGTTACATCACCTTTCTCGAAATCGAGATCTCTATGTTTGTATCATTTACATATACCATATGTACTACAGTTTTTCCCCACCTCTGTATACTGTTTTGTGTTCTCCGTTTTTATATGAAAGAAAAGCGAGGGGAGGTGATGTTAGGAAACTTCCTCATATTTGTTGTCCCTTAGAAATTGCATGTAGTTTAATCATAACATTACATTTTACACATCAGCATAAAGACGAGACAGCAGTAATACATATGGGGGGGTCATAATAGATATTAGTAGAATCATGTTGGGGATCATGACAGCGAACCTCACAAGGAACAAGCAGACATGCACTAACCCAGCCCAGTAAATTTAATTTCAGTAACAGTTGTGAAGAAAGACGATAATAAATACGCAATATACTGACTTTTATGCATATGGATTTCGTAGATACGCTGTAGCACGTACAAACTTGATTGAATATTGGATGATGAACTGTAACATTATTATGGCGATTTGGGCGAGATGGGAAATAGATCGACCTTGAGTTAGGTTTCTGTATGCTGTGATTTTATCTTGGTATTTTATCGGATGGCAGAGATAAACCGCGAAAGGTTTGTGAAATGCTCAGGTTCATTCATCTACAGAAAGTAATTTCTTTAGACCTTCATCCTAACTCCCCGTCCTCATTTCCTTTATTGATTTCGTGCTTCTTTCTCCGTTCATGTGGCACAACAAAAGCTGGTATTAATGGAAACTGCAGTCTCTTAAAATAATCACTGTGTTCTATAACTTGGTGTCAAGTCACTTTGTGGAATCGACACTTCCCCTCTGTTCCTGACTGATGCAAGTTAGACACGTGTTAAATTGTCAAACAGTCTCTTGATAATTAATCTTCAGCCCTTTAGAATAAATATCTTTCATGCACCAATTTTTTACTAAACTTTTAATTACACACGTGAATCATGTTGAAAGATATAACAGACTCGCGTAGTTGGAAACTAGCATAGTACTCTCTCTTTGAATAAAATTCGTTATAAATTCCGAGTGTAATACGGCATAACTCTAATCTGTGTCAAGTAGTTTACGTAAAGATCGCCCAAAATATGAGCTGTTACAGAACAACAGTCACCTCTATAAATGCCGTGTGTGAGACCGTAAGAGCTGTATCTTCAGCTGACGCACTCTTGATAGCTGGTTCACAGTTTTTCCTCTTAATTGGGATTTTTCATCTTTGCACCCACTTCCTTCGTCTTCAGATTTTCTGTCGTATATAATGTAATAGTTTCCGTAATTGTGATTATTTGATCTGTTAACTTCCGAGCAGTCATTTGGATCGCCTTCTCCGCAGTTTAATAAGTTCTTTGCGACACTGGACATTAGTGGCATACTCCGGCTTTAATGTCTGGTCTCCGTTCTTGAAAGATATAAGAGTTCTCTGTTCCTTGTATGATAATTTTATTCCTGCGCGTTTTGCATCCTTAAAGCAGTTTACCTTATTCTCGATGAAAGTGGACATTTGTCTTCGAACAGAGAAGTTTCTTTGATGCGTAATTTTAATAAGAGACTCAACCTGACATGATCATTCGTATCTTCTGTCTTTTTTAAAGATACACCAAAAACATACCTACTAAAGAAATGTTCGTTAAGTTTGTTGGTGATTGAATCTGGCATCATTTCACGACTCTTTCGCAGCTGTCTAAGTTATGTACCGCGCAGTGATAGGGTGGTTGAGCGAATGGTGGTGAATGTGGAAGGAAGTGGTCGTGGCCTGTTCTGAGACACCATCACAGTGTTTGTCCTGAGGAAGAGAAAGAAGTCGGCCACAAGAACCGGTTTAGTTTGAGATTTCGAAGGTGGTATGTCACGAAAGCGAAACAGGATTGCTTGTCACCCGACCTTGATGTTCGATGGGTTTCTGTTAGTGATATGTTTGTTTCCACTTGGCCTTATTGCCAAAGAGGGCCGAGGCCCCGTCTGTGTCATTGCGGATACCAGTAGGCGTGTAAAATCATTACAATATACCCACTTTCTTTGTCGTTACCACGCAGTGTTCTTGCCATGATGCGTGCCAGCGCAAACATCTTGGTCAACATTTTTTCTTTTGTTTTCTCGTGATCTCTTTTTGTGTGTGTGTGTGTGTGTGTGTGTGAGCATTGTATGGAAATCTTGGACTGCGGTGTCTGAGGTTGCTTTATTACAGACTGAAAGTGTTGGTTGTTTGGGTTGGTAGTCTTCAGTTGTTTAGGTGGGGTCATGATGGGCTGAATGCGATTTGTGCCCACAGAAATACTGTTGTTACGTTCTCTCGTCTGTTGACAAGTGGCGTAAGTTGGGCTTTGTCGGACTGTGCATACAATACAGCGCCTCCTTGCCTCATTTTCATCCCTAAACAAATGAAGTATTCGGATGCAAACAAACAGAAAAGTCGCACGTCCAATCGTGATCACGGAGCTGAGGAAAGTTATCTTCATTTCCATAAATAATTTAGTTTCTGACTTAAAGTCTAACACGCATTTAATCATCCCACCAAGACCCAACCAGCCGGCTTCTGCATACCAGAGAACATCACAGTTCTCAGATTCCATAGGTAAAGTTGGTAAAGTCCTTGTGCTTAACTGACCAAGCACTGCGCCATGAAGGTGTGTGGGAGAGTGGATACACAGTTGCTTTACCTCGGCACTAGTTCGAGGTGAGTCGTCAGCTCCACGCCCCGGCCGCCTACCTCCATGAACTCCGTTCACTTCGGTTTTTCTAAATCTTACACATTCGGTAGGACTCCTTGGGCGGGTGATCAGCTCGTCGCAAGGCTTCTACCTGTACACAAACACAGAAAAACGCACACAAACAAAGTAAACATCAGTGCCCTGAGTGGGATTCGAACCCACGATCCCGGTTTCCAAGCGAGCGAAGACAGTACGTGCCTTAGACCGCTGGGCTACCGTGACCGGCTACT